CCGGGTAGGCGGCCTCTTGGTTTTTTCCCCTAAAAGGGGGAGACGTCGGGAGGCTACCGAAATTTTGTTTGAAATAAGATAAATAATTGGAACAATTTGGGACTTGTGGAGTTGATGTAATTGATTTAAATAAATTCAAATATAAGTGAATATAAACTTTAAATGAATTTAAAAGACAACGTAAGCTTGAACTAAACTTGATTGAACTCATTTTGAACTCGGACTTGAACTCTACAAGACAGCAGGGGACTACTTGAACTCAAATGAGTTGAACAATGAACTTGATTGAACTCAAAAGACCGCAGGGGACTTAACGAACAAAAGAGGCTCGTGTTGAGCCCAAACTTTATTTGAACATGTTTTGGACTTGAATGTGAATTGGACTTGTGAGTTTGGACTCGAGCTGAATAAGACTACACGGAACAAGACTTGTACAAAGAAAATTGGATCAATGAATTAACAAAGTGTACATCATGGGTTAATGAGTTCAAATGCTTATATTAGTTAGTCCTAATCTTCTAAATGAAAACCAACGTATGAACAAGGGATTGATTTGAATCCTAACACTAAGCTCTTAATAAAGGATAAAGAAGTATTACTCCACCTTTGAGAATGAATACTACATGAATTTGTGGAGAATGTTAAAATGAATTTCAATATACAGCAGGGGACATGTGGAAGAAGTCATCCAAACATAATCAATGTGTAAGCAAGAATCAAGTTGAATACAACTAAGATGAAGGGGGAGTAAAGAAATTTCTCTTAAGCAATAACATAATCAAATCTCATGACAAAATGTGATGCTCTCAAACGGATAGCACAACTTGCTTGCAAAGAGAGATCAACAAGATCTCCACCTATAAGTTATGGCATGAGATCTCCAATAAACGTCAAAGAGTCATCATGAATTCCTAACCAAATGCAAATGGGTAATAATCCATCTATAATCGTATGCAAGGAGTTTGTGGAAATGCATTCAAGTGAATAACGATGGACTAGTAGAGTTTGCAAGTAATGAATGGTGGAAATTATGGTGAATAAGGAAGTTCATATGAGAAAAATAATTGGAAGTGTTCTCCAATGAAAGCCAAAGGTCGTCATGTTAACGTGAGCACTAATGACAATAAGCAAGGATGTTAAACTTGGTGTATGTATTGTAAGTGACCTTCAAAGATAGGGGAACTTCAAGGACACATAATGACATATCCATAAGTGTTGCTGTGATATGATCATAGGTAAAGTCTGAAGATTTGATATCTCTACAAAGTATGAAGAATATAAGAGTTAATGACAATCATGATTGTTCAAGCAAAGATCGATTGAAAGATTTGTGACTCACTTGTAAACAACAAACGAGTTCCATAAACAATGGAAGGAAGCATACGATGAGCATAGTAGATTCTTGAAAAATGTATGTGCGAAAACTAACGATGATTGTAGTCATTCCGACAGTCAACAACAAGCTACAAATACACTCATCAATCTCTTATAGATCATTGAGATCTTCGTGCAACGAGTTCAATGAATCATTAGCAAACACAAAGGGGGAAAGTGTAGTGAACACAACCTACCCAGAGATCTATCATGAAGACAGATATATCTATCTCCATCAAGAAGAAGAATCAGATATGTAACGAACACAACTTTTTTGCAAACAGAGATCAAACTGAAAGGATAACAAGTGCTTGTAATCAATCGATAATATAGAGTTCTTAAGAAATTTTTGAGATATTCAAGCTAATCAAAATGCAAAAGGGTGTGGAGGGCATTTAACGAATGAAACAATTGCATTACAACACTCCAACAATTTACATCAACATATAAACAAGCATATTGATCTGCATGCAAATAATGATAGGAGATCCGCAACATATATGAGTCCACTAAGAATACTGGTGTACACACTACCTCTTATCTGTATATAGATACAAAAAAGACTCCAGTAAACGCAGTATCTTGAAGTCAATTTCAGCTTAGAAATGAATAAATTTACCTACCTACATACAACAGTAGCGGATGTACTAAAAAGACCAAAGACCACAACAAAATGAATAAAGAATACAAAATGAATGCAAGTTCTTATGAGCCTTGTGAGGAGACCCATATACGTGCCACATGCTATCTACAAGCAAATGCCGGATGATATGCAGCAAGTGCAAATGTCTACGGGCCATTGTAGAAAGCTCGCCAAGCATACAAAATGCCATTTACAAACAAAATGCCAAATGACCACAACGGATGCAAATGCCTACAACATGTTGAAGGAGGCATGTTATGTATTCAACAGGCTATCTGCGGTCAAATACGAGAGAACTGTAATGGATGCAAGTATACGCAACCGAAATCAGGATATTCGTTAGTGCGCTACAATCCACCTGCAGAAAACAAGTAGTGCACGACAGTTTACCTGTACAAGACAGCAAACAACTCAATCCCCAAGCTGCTGCAAAATGCCACCGGATGTGCAACCTTCGTACAAGCAGACAGAAGGCGTCAACAAAGTCTAAAATAAAGCTCCGCACATGCATCATAGTTTGTATACACATAGGTACACAAAAAGGGCAAGTGCAATCATAAAACCCGCATAGGCCCCGATGAGCGTGTTATTGGTACACACGTGACGTCTAGGAATGCTGCGCGGGTCACTAAATTTGAACAAGATCCTCCTAAGCAGGTATATAAGAGTCGACAAAGTTCAATAAATAATTATAAAATGCCCCCAAATACCCGCATGGGCCGTGACGAGCGTGTTATTAGTACACATGTCGTCTAAGGATGCTGCGTGGGTTAATAAGTGAATTCAAATTCGAACCCGATCCTTCTATGCGAATCAATAAGAGTCGAAAGGGTTCGAACCATCAAACAAATACACGGTTGTGGAGACCGATATATTTGTTTCAATATATTCATATTAGGCCTTCAAGGCCTATAATCAAAGAGAATTCACTAACAAATACATAAAGCCTACGAAACCAGATCTCCTATTTGCAAGTTGATAGAGTCGAGAAGGTTCAAGCTTTAAATGGAAATAACCTTGAACACCACGATGATAGCCGTGTTGAATGTATGGGTGTCAATATTGGACATGACCCGAAAACCCGACATGGAAATTTCAGGTTCGGGTCAACCCGAACCTGAACCGGGTCGGGTTTGGGTTAGATATTTCAACCCCTTTGTAAAATCGGGTCGGTTCGGGTTGACCCGGAAACTCGAAATCAACCCAGTTTGACCCAGGTTCGCGTCATTCACGTTCGCGTCCATCCGTCGCGTCGTCTATGGTCTGTCGTGTCGTTTGCGGTCTGTCGGGTTCGACGTCGCGTCCGCGGTTGGCCGTCCGCGTCAAAACTCAAGCGGCTCAAGCGATCATGCCCATAGGGCATTCCAGAACCGCAGAACGTTTCCCGGACAATGATCCGCCGTCCGCTCGTCCGGTGACTACTGCCCTCGCACCGTCACTGCGTCGCACGCCAGCAAACGGACTAATGGAGTCACCGCGTTCACCAGCCATACTCGCAGCCAAAGGTCTGCCAGCAGTCGCGTCCGCTGACGGTCCGTTCGCCAGCTATTTCGCGCGCTTGTTCAGCCAAATCGTGGAAATCCGTGTCGGGTCGGGCTGACCCAAACCCGAAGCGGGTCAGGTTCGGGTCCAAAAAATTGACCCGTTTGCAAAAAACTGGTCGGGTTTGGGTTGACCCGAATAGTGCCGGGTCAATTTCGGTTTGACCCGAACTCGACCCATGACCTGAAATTGACATCCCTAGTTGAATGTTTATCTCAACCGGAGGGGTTCACAAACACTTTCAAATACCTTCCAAGCTCCACCTAAATACCCACAAAAATCTCAAAATTTCAAAATCCAAAAATATTTAAAACTGAAATATTCCATCAAACATTTAATGCAAAATCCATCCACCCTCGACAACAGTTTGCCTGGGTGGATAAATTAAAAATTACTTCAGCTCACAAAGAGCTAATGCGTAGTCGAAAATATCACTATGATTCATTCTTAAACAATCTTTTGCCAATAAGGACGTGGTATGTGTCCTATGACCGACGGTTTTGCCGCCAAATAGAATCGCAGGATAAACGGTTATGACCCGGGGCTCTTTGAACCGAGTGGTTTTGCCGCCAAATGGGGCACCAAGAAATACCGGTTATAGCTAGAGTCAATACGCTCCTTAGTGACATCAAATCCTTGATATATGAATCAATATGCTATGATCGATAGGGCATAAAGCCCTCTGTTAGCTAAGGTGGATTCAAATTTGTCCCCTTAGACAAACACTCACCCCAGGTCTACAAGGTCCCCTTAAACGAAGCAACCCATGGTTGTCGACAAGGATCCTTCTGTCAGGTTGGGTCGACTACCTCCTCTGACTAAGTAGACCAGGGACCACGATGGCCTGGGATGACGAAACCATGGGATCTTGATCGGGTCCATCATCCATTCTCCCACTATCTGCTTTAAGTGCAAGATAGTGAAATTTCTAATTTTAAATATCAAATCTTCAAGTTCTCAACCATTTCCAAAATCTCCAAATCCTAAGCCCATTGATGCTACTAAATGCCAAATAACACGTATCTCTACATATCTGATTGACGACTAGCCTTAATTGAAAGTTCTCTCTCGTTATCGAGAGGGATAATTAACTATAGGGGTTTGCACCTATAGGAAACCAGAACTCAGATCATAAAGTCCTCGCAAAATGAGGGCGAAATCTACAAACCTATCAGCCTTCCAAAATTTACCCCTAAACTTAAATTTGTTAAAACTCCCTCGTCGAAAAGAAAAAGTAAAATAGTCGGGCGGAGGCCGGGGCCAAATTTTCGGAGCCCACATTATTATTATTATTATCTTTATTTTAATTCATTTGCTTACTTATCAGAACGGTAATGGAATGAATTGAAAAAATCTAGGCAGTAAAACAGTATCTTTGTTTTTCTTCGAGTTCTTTGTGCTAAAATGGTAATTAATCACCATTTTGGCCTTCAATATTCAGGTCTTAACTCTCCTGGGTGGGGACCTGCATTCTGCACCTGGAAATGAGGACCCAACTGATGGAAAATCCAAGCCAGTTCCCACTGCTCAGTTGCCTGATTTAATCGATACAGGTGGCTTGGAAGATGATGAATTTGGAACTTCTTCCAAAAATCTTGTTGATGAAGGCGTTGGAGATCTAACATCAGCTCCTCTAGTTGATGATCTATTTGGTGGTGCACAGATTTCTGAAGTAAGCATCAGCAAAAATGAAAATGCTGATGATCCATTTGCTGATGTCTCATTCCATACTGCTAATGAGAAAAAGCACACAGACATCTTCTCTGGATTGACAATTGATGATAAGAAATCTGATCATATTGTACTTACTGAAAACAAGCATGACTTCGACATTTTTGGTTCCAACTCTTGGAATGTTGAATCTGATGATAAGAAAAATGTTCAAGATTTGATGGCTGGAAATTATCTTTCTGTAATGAATCAGGACAGCGTACAAACAAGAGCATCTGGAGCCCTATTGGATGGGAGCAATCAGCAGAGTCAACTTCCTCCCAGTGTGAATTCTAAGGGTTTTCTTGGTCCAAATGATTACTACCCCATGACTGGCTTGCAATATAACATGCAGCCAAATATTATGCTCAATCCGGCTCTTGCTGCACAGTCCATGAACTATGGTTCAATGGGAGCTTATATCACTCAGCAGCAATTACTATACCAAAATATTGGGAATGCTAATTCAGGTTATATCAATGTTGCTGGTCTTGCCACGGATGGAGGTTACGCTTCAGCACTCCCTGACATTTTCCAGATATCAAATAATCCAATTCAGGGCAATAGTCCAGTGATGACCAACTCAAAGAAGGATGAGACAAAGGCTTTTGATTTTATTTCGGTATGCTCTCTACTCTTCATCTTTAACTCTATTTATTTCAGCCAATTCTTTCACTTTATCATGATTAATATTTTCTTACGCTTTCAAACCAATAAAAAAATTTATATTTTTATATCATTTCTATTCATGCAAGTGATGTGGTTCATTTTAGTTGTATTTGTGTATGCGAAAATATATACTTGTGAAAGGATCCAGGGCTAAGTATAAGGTTTTTTCTTTGAAGTCGTAAGTTCGAATCAAATCGAGTCATACACTGTGATTTATTGTTCATCATCTCTCTCTCTTTCTCTCTCATTATATATATAGTGATTAATGCTGATTTCTAATTAAGGCTTCGTTTGGGATGGCTTTGTAATTGCTTCTTAAATCTGCTTTCTAGTACAAAAATTAAAAATTGTGTACTAAAAAACTGCTTTAAGAAGCATTAAAAAAACCGTCTCAAATGAAGCTTAAAAGTATCAATTATGGATCGGATTCAATTAGATTTTTCAATTTAACATAATTCAAATACCATTATGCATTAAATCAACACCAAACTTGAATTTACTCTTAGGACCTCCATTGTAATGCTTATATGGATTATCTCATGAAAGAGATGAGAGCACCATTTCCTTGATGGTATTTATTGGAGCATAATTAGAACATATTCAATCTTGTTTCGCCTTCTTTTTTTAACAGGAGCATATATCTGCTGCTCGAGATTCAAAGAGAATACGGTGAATTATGGATGACCTTGAACTGAGAGATGATCTGCAGTTAGAAAGTGGCTGTTTAAAGTATCTGATGAATGTTTTTTCGAGTAATTTGAGTAAATCATTTCTTCCATAATGTATTTAAGACGTTGATCTAGTTTTGCTCCTACCATTAGGCATATGAAAAAACCAGAAATCATATACATTGAGCAGAATGTTGAGGAACTTTTGTAAAGCGCTTTCAAAATGAAGATAAACTGTGCAATTTGCCATTCTTTAGGACTGTAAATTGTAATAATATGTTTGTATTCACGTTGTGCTAGACCATTTATGGATGTCTTTTTTGGAATAGATTTTGTATATTGTACACGATGCTGTGATTTTAATAATGAATCGTTTTTTTAATGATTACAAATGAAATAAAAATGAGTTCAGCATTTAATTTTGCTAGAGTAATTGTGCATTAGGTTCCTTGTTGGTAGTCTTGCATTGCACAGGCAATTTGTGCCCCTTAAATTGGAGAAATCATTATGTGCAGACGCCGGATGCAGCTCTACGTCCGGAGGCGAATCAGGTGCAACCACATCAGCGGTAACGAGCGGTATCAAGTAGTACCGAGCTGCTGTACCGATCAAAGTGGTGACATGGCGTATTCTGATTGTCTTCGAATGGCATTCGGCGTCCACACAGAATAATTTTTCCTTAAATTGTTTGCTTGTACCTGGAGAAACCAGGTTTACTAGAGCAAAGTTTTGAGGGTTTGAAAGTCGAAACTTGTTATGGGTTTTAATTTTTACCAACTGTAGAAGTTTTAATTGTGATTGTTTTGCTGCTAAGTTTTTCTTGGTTTAATTTAAATTTTTTTGGGTGTAATATTCAAAGGAATTGAATGATTTTTTATTTATTTAAATTAGTCGACATTCATTATGTTGGCATTTTCATAATTTCAAAACTAGCGGCCATTTTCAACTGAAGCAGATTAAGGCTTCGTTTGGGACGGCTTTTTTACTGTATCATAAAAATTTTTTTAGTAAAAAATTAAAATTTTTACATTAGAAAATTATTTTAAGAAGCAGAAATAAAGTTATCCCAAATGAAGCAGAAATTAGAGTAGACGGATGGGTTCAAGGGGAGCAGAATTTCTGCCAGCAGAGTTTGGGAGGATCACACAGTTTTAAATAATCAATTTCTTGGAGAATTTTGTGACAGTTATTTATTTGAGTTCTTATTGATGTTTTATGCACCAACGCTTTTGTTGCATCAATCTTCATAAATAAAACGCTAATGCTTATAAATCCAAAGTTTAACAGCTCTCTCTTATACATTAATACAAAGTCATACGAGAAATTTCAGGAGAAAATTCTGGCAGAATTCCGACTGGGATCAACCTCTTCAATTTTCTCCCATCATTCACGGATGACAACCGAGTGAATGATGATAATAATGAAAAACAACAGAAGATGGTCAATATTTCATCTTTTAGGATATAATGGATTGCAAATCTCAACATGAGTAAACGATCGTCCGTGAATGGACAAATTATTCTGTGCGGAGTCCGGACGTTGTCCAGAAATAAAAAAAAAGCGTCGCTATCACCCCAAAAGTGTACCGCGCTCGGTATCAAATGGTACCAGACGTTTCTCTTGTCCTGTGTCCTCACTGAATAATCTCTCCTGAATGAAGATGTGTGATTGAGTACCCATCATTACCTGCAGCCTGAAATCCAAAAAGGTCTGCACTAGCAAATTAGCCTTTTTCAGGGCTCAGCTTTAGTGAAATCAGAGAGCCTTTTCAGTTCCTAAAAGGCTCCAGAGTCTCGAGAGGTAATAAGAGATTCACATGCATCAGTTCTGGCATCTCCACTACTTTTAAAAACAGAGATATTTCATCCACTTTGCCATGAAGGACGGATAAATATCAAATACTTGTCTGCTATTGATGGATGGAAGACTATTTGCGACTGAAGGCTTGATTCCAGGACCTTGACATAAGGTAAAAGAAAGTGTCAAAAAGACTCTTTAAGAGTTGCCACCTTTAGGAAGGTCATATTTTTTTTTTGGGAAATTTTGGGGCTTACGCCCATTCATTAATAGAGAAAAAAATTACAGTAAAGGACCCACCTCCAAGCAAAAAGCAGGAGTGGGGAACAAAAATTACAAGTAATGCTCAGTAAAGAAAAACCTATACCACCCCCAAAAAATGAAACCAAAAAGTGTGGTAATTCAAAAAATCAGGACTCATAAATTGCTGCAGCCAAAAGAGGCAGCCCGAAGTCATAAGAATCAAAAAGGGCTCCTGGTTGCCTAAACAATAGACCATCCAAGGAGCTAAGCTGCAGCGGTCATCATTGTCCTGCAAAAAAATTCTCGAACGCAGCATAATGTTGATGTTATAGCAAAGATAACAGCCAACCGAGATGTTCAAAGAATCCAGATAGGCAAGACTGCTATAAACGTCATCGAAGGAACAGCAGAACCACAATGGAAGGTTGCCAGGGGGAGCAACAGAAGCACCCAGCTGAAAGAAAGCCAGCATATTAACCCAATAAATGTAGTATACCATGAGCATTTTTCCAGTCCATGATCTTAGCATAACAAGCTTTTTTAACTTTCCTGGCCACCGTGGTATAGCACTCAATAATGTTGCCAAAAAGCCTATCATTACGGGCTCGCCAGATAAAATAAACAGCAGCATTTAACATCAAACAATAACAATTCCTCATGATTCTGTTATCAGAAATATCTTCAATAAACTCAAAAGCTTGCAGAAGATTCGGTCTGAGAAGCAGAGTTTGAGATTGAGGGATTAAGGAATTGAGAACCATGAAAGAAAAATCACATTCAAAGAATAAATGTGAGTGATTTTCACAGAAATACTGACAGAAAACACAAGAGGTGTTAACTGAGATACCCCGTTTTAAAAGCTGATCAGAAGTTTTCAATCCCTGTCTAACCGCAAGCCAACCATAAGAGGAGTATCTAATGGCAGAGTGCTTGTGCCAAATAAAGCTATGCCAAGTTACCTTTTGAAGCTGCTTAAAGTATTCATTTTGAAAAAATTTGTTCGAAACTTTTTCCCCATTATTCCAGAGGCAACCCGTAAAGCTGCTGGCCAAATACACAGAATTTATCTTGTTAGCCAAGAGAAGAGGCCAGTGGTCAGGAACGGCCCAGGTGCCGTTAGAGACAATATCAGACACAGTCAGGGAGTTAAGATTATCATAGCCAGCTAAATCCAGATCTTGAAAGATACTTATAAGAGAGTTACCAAAGCACCAAGGGTCCCAAATAAGAGAGAAATTACAGCTTGGGTAGACCCTAAGAGAGATGCAGTGCTTAATCAATTGAGCCACTTTGCATAAGTTAAACCAGAAATGAGATCTGCGATTTGGGAGAGGAGCCCAGAGAGATTTGTAACGATTACGCCACCATTGAAAAAGAGGATTGCTACCATTAAGAAACCTCCAAATAGTAGAGCACGAAAAACCAAAAGATAGGGAGTCCAGGGAAGGCAGTCCTATGCCCCCATTAATAGTTGGAGTGCAAGTATCTTTCCAAGCAATGAGGTGCAGTTTTTTAACCGAGATTTCCTTGTAGAAAAGAAATCTCGAACATAGCTTGTTTAAAGTCTTGAAGCAGCTTTTGGGTATAGAGGAACCTCTAACCCAAAAGGCAATAGTATTCATGATGGTATATCTGAGGAATTGGATCCTCCCCCCAAAAGAAAGAGTCTTAGCTTTGCACCCGTCTAAAGCTTTAGTAATTCTCAGAAGAAGAGGCTGAAAATGAGCTTGAGAAAGCTTTTTAGTGAAGACCGGGATCCCCAAGTATTTGATCGGAGACAAAGTTTGCTGAATGTTGAGGAGAAGACAAATATCATCAGCCGTTATGCAATTTTTAGAGAAAATAATAGAACTTTTGGAAGGGTTAACCCTAAGCCCAGAATGAGATTCAAAATTCTCCAGAATCGTCTTAAGGGAGGAAGCCTCCCTAAGGGTAGCCTTAGAGAAAACAAGTAAGTCATCAGCATATAAGAGGTGAGTAACTAAGGAGTTACCCAACGAGATACCCGAGAAGAGTTGATTAGTATTAGCTTCCTCAAAGCAAGCAGAGAGGCCGTCCATAACAATAGTGAAGAGATAGGGGGATAAGGGGAAACCCTGCCTCAAGCCAGATGTAGAATTGAAATAACATTCCAGCGCCCCATTAATCGCAACAGAGAAATGAATATCAGAGATGCAAGCTTGAATCCAAGAAATGAAAATACTAGGGAAGCCTTTAGCTCTCAATCTGTCTAAAAGAAAATGCCTTGAAACAGTATCGAAAGCCTTGTGAATATCAAATTTAGCACAAAAATAAGTCTCTTTAGAATTATAATTAAAAGTGCCAAGCAGCTCAGAAGCAAGAATAATATTGTCTGAGATAATTCTATCTTTAATAAAACCAGCTTGAGCAGTATGAACAATAGTTGGCATAACCTCTTTCATTCTGTTAGCAAGCAACTTTGCAATAATTTTATAGAAAGCATTACATAAAGAGATGGGACGGAAATCACTAACAGTAGTTGCATGAGGGTGCTTTGGGATCAAAGCAATAGCCGTATTTTTAGCAGATTTATGCATGAAAGAAGTGGCGAAAAAGGATTGAACCGCAGAGCAAATTTTGTTACCAAGAATGTGCCAAGTAGCCTTATAAAATGCAAACGTGAAACCATCAGGGCCCGGGGAAGCATTGGAGGGAGAAGAAAAAACAACCTGCTTAATTTCCTCAACCGAGAACGGGGCAATCAGCGAATCCAGCATCCCAGATGGAATGGAGTTTCCAGAAGGAAGGCTGGAAAGCAAAGGAGGTTGCGGGGTGTTGAATAATCTTTGAAAATGATCTATAAAAGCATTAGAAATGCTCTGGCTGGTAGTATGTAAAACCCCATTAACATCAATCCCCTTAATATGGTTGCAGTTGTGACGGATATTAATATTGGAATATAAAAATTTCAGATCGTCTTCACCAGCTTTGAGCCAGTGGGCTTTGCTTCTTTGGGAAATCCAGTCAACCAGACGAGCCTGACCAGCACAAATATTTTCAGTAATAGTTTTGAGTCTCAAGTTTAGAGAATAATCTAACGGATCTCTTTCAAGAGTGGAAACAGTATGAGCTTGCTCTTGAGAAAGCTTATTCAAATCCTCTTTCAAACAATTAGAAGAGTTCCAATTTCTCCGTTTGAGCTTAAACTTAAGCTCCTTTAATTTATGATAGAGGTCACAGATAGGACTTCCAGTAGCCGGCATGGAAAAAACCGACATCACATCATCCCAAAACGTAGGAATTTTGCTGCAGTAATTCTTATACAAAAACCTATGGGGATGTTTCATAGGATTGTCCAGACATAGAATAATAGGGCAGTGGTCGGAGATTTCCGGGTCAGAGACAATATAATAAGAATTTGGAAACAAATTAAGCCACTCATCATTAATGTGAACTCTATCCAATTTAATGTGTATCGGAACATCTAAACGTTGATTATACCAAGTGTAGAAATGGCCAATAGAGGGTAAATCAGAGACACCAGAGTTAAAAACAAAGTTGTTTAACTCACCCAGCTTACTGAGGGGAATGGGATTACCCCCAGCTTTTTCCGATGGATTCCTGCAACAATTAAAATCGCCCAAAATGGCCCAAGGAAGAGAAATGCTACTAGCAAGATTAGCAGTAAAATTCCAAAGTTGTTGTCTCTCCGCCACAGAATTAGAAGCATAAATCACCGAAATACAACATAAATCCTGACCACCACAGGAAACCACCCCATGGATAATCTGAGAAGAAGAGAAGAGAGGTCTAAAAGAGACCTTAAGAGCATTCCACTTAATCTAGATGCGACCCGGAGAAGAGTCGCCAAAATTATCCAAACAGCCCTCAACAGGGAAAATCGAATGAGAACGAATGAACCAGTCATCAGAAAGTGACTGAACAGAAATCTTAGCTTCCAGAATAAAAACCATATCCAGGCTATATTTTTGAACCAACGACTTGCAAGACAAAACTTTGGAGGCATTGTTAAACCCCCTAACGTTCCACGCGGCCAGACGGGGAAGGGTCATTTATGTTTGTGTTTTGAGTTGGCAGCCTTTTTGGCTTGTTTGCTCCTAGTGTTTTTGGGACTAGGTTTGTCATGAGAAGGGCTATTAGAGGATTTAGTAGTTTGGGATGGGGTGCTGGAAGAGGATTGTTGGGGAGAGGATTGAATGTTGGGATTGTCCTGACCCATAGGAGGGGAAAAAGGAATGTCCTGGAGGTCTGGAAGGGGATGGTTAGGAGGGGGATGAGGTTCCTGAACAGAGGATAGAATCTCAAATTTATTGGCAATCGGAAGGGAGTCTGCAGCCTTAAGCATTAAGGGAGGCTCAGTCTTAGCAGGGGAAGAAATGTCTGTGGAACAGAATTCATACGTGGGGGAGTTTAGATTGGGTAAAGGGGTGGGAATTTGAGGTGCTGGATTAGGAGTGGGAATTTGAAGAGTCTGATTGGGCTGATAGTTTGGTAAAGGGAGCAGAGGAGGAGCAGTCATAGGGCCTGCCGAAGAAGAAGAGGGATTGTTAGGAAGAGAAGATGGCGGGGGCTGGCTTTTTCGAGGTCTTCGACTAGAACTTCGACCACGAACCTTCAGAGGCAGGGTGGGTTGTTTCGTGGCTATCTGAGGATTTGGGTTTTTTGGGCAAGTGGAAGGACTATGATAGATAGAGCTGCAGTGTTCACAAGGGATAGGTTTCCAGTCGTAAAGAACTGAGAGGGGGGTTAACTTGCCATCCACAGAGATAAAAATTTCATCCGGCAAAGGGTCAGTACAAGATACCTGGACACAAACCCGAGCGAAGGTCAGCCTGGTTTTAGCAGCTGTTAGAGCATCCACCGCTAAAGGCACTCCAACACAACTAGCAATTTTGGAGATTCCTTCCGGTGTCCAGCAAGAAAGGGGAAGATTTTTTATCTTGATCCAAAGAGGGATCGAAGCAAATTCTTCGCGCTTGGGAACGAAATCCGGCGACCATTTTTGAAGAATGAAAGGCTTACCAAAGAAAAACCATGGACCACCAGTCCAAGCCATTTCAAAGTCTTCAGGAGAAGAGAATTTCAGCAGAAAGAACCCGTCATCAAGCGTAAGAAGAGAAATCTCGCCTTTGAGCTTCCAAGTGCGCTTGATAACCGAGAGAAGGGCTTCATAAAAAGGCCTCTTGCCAATAGAATAGCCTACCAACGAAAGCGACCATTCCGGGGCTCCAGCTTCAAACTGGGTCTGGGTGAAGAGCGCGGTAAAGTTTTTGGTGGGGTGATGAGCCAGCGAACTGGAGAAGTCATGAGAGATAGGCGATTGAGAGGATAGGAGGAGCTTCCAATGAAGGAGATCCTCAGAAAAGGGGGCTCTGGCGGTGGAGGATGCAGATGGATGAGGGGGAAAGGCGGAGGAGGACATCCTACAGGCGGAGTCCTCCTCAGGCGGCGGGCCGAGAAAAAAAAACCCGCGGGAAAAGCAAAACCCTAACAGAGCTTCTCACACTAATCTCTCACTAGTCTCTCCCCTCACCATGTCCTTATCAGATTTTCAGATAAGACACTCCCTTAGGAAGGTCATATCAGTGAGACCAAAAAAAAAGAAAAACATTAAAGGAGATCCTTATGCAGCCTATTTCTTAGGTTTCGTTTGGGACAGTTTTTTTATTGCTTTCTAAAACGGAGTTTTAATACATTTTTTTTATTTTTGTATTAAAACTCCGTTTTAGAAAATAGTAAAAAAAAAAAAAAAAAAAGCCGTCCCAAACGAAGCCTTAATCTGTTGATTTAGAGTTGGGGCTTCCAACCAAGAGGTCTTGAATTCAAAGTCTAAGCTCTGAACTAAGAAGTTTCAGGTTGAAAATGTTGTTTGTGTGTGAAGCCCAACTTAATCAATTGATTTGGAGCTTAAGCTCTCCACAAATGAGTAATTATTCCGTCAGGTTACCGAATGCATCCGGAAACCAATAACAAAACGCCACATCATTAAAGTGCTCGGTACCGTGCTCAGTACAGCGCGCTCGGTACACTCGGTATGCTCAATATTGCTCGGTGTTTTCACCGGATGTAATAATTTTTCTCCACAAAGAGGTCCCAGTCTCAAAATCTAAGCCCCCAATCAAAAAGTTTTTGAGTTCAAAGTATTGTATATGTGAGTTTATGGTTAAATTTGTACCCTCAATAAAAAGAAAATTCATTCTAACACTGATAAATAAATCTCATGACAACCATAATGATAGTGGAGGACAAAATTTTTCATGTGATAGAATGAGTTGTGACTGTGATTCTGTGAGTTTAAACTAGTTAAATTTGAGCTAGTTCATTATGTGTTTGTATTCAACTCGTTTAAAATTTTATTTGTTTGAAATTATTTGTGAATATTGTATGCATTGAACTCATTTAAATTTCAATTTAACATTAGCTAATTTGAAATGACTGAAAGTAAATAAATAATGAGAATAATTAACATTATTTGAATTCATTAGCTAATTAGCTAATTTCAATTTAACATCATTTGTGAATTCTTCTATTTATTATTAACCAATTAATAAATTTGAAAAAAAAATGAAAATTAATAATTTGCAATTTAAAGATATATTTATTAAATAATTTTAATTTTTGTGTCAAAATAAGCCGAAAAACAGTTGAACAAGGCTTTATTTGTTGTGACTTGTGAAGAACATGAACTCAAGGTAATTGTTTAATATCAATTTGCTTTTTTTTTTCTCCTTAAAAATGATGAGTGATAAATTGCCAAGTGGCCTCGACAAGTGATCTTGAAGACAACCTTTTTTTTTTTAAAACATTGAATAAGAGGTTATTACTCACTCAACAATTAAACTGATTGTTATAAAAAGGACACTTTTTTCAGATAGCTTATTGATGGTGCTCAGTAGGAGATTCATTCAAGCCTTGCCAGACTTTCCTCTACCCCATCCCATGGTTTTCTTCACAATTTTAGAGGGGAGGCAGAGGAAAACAAATAACACAGGGTTGGCATTCTATTTTTGATAATCTAAGACCATCTCCAATGCTGTTTTCCGTTGCTCCAACCGAGCAGTCATTTTGCTGCTATTTCATCGCGGGTGAATAGTGCGACATCAATACCCGCTAATTTTTTATGTGTCAACGGGATTTGCCCGTGAAATGGAGATAGACGGTTACGAGACGACGAAACCCGCAAAATAGAGTTCGATTGGAGCAGAATTATCTCATTTTGAAGCTTTGTTGTATTTTGCAATGGAAAATGAGGTTTTCGGTTGGAGATGCCCTAATAGAAATGGGCATTCACTTTATATGTTCATAGAAATAACATTATATAACTTGTTACACCATTGAAATAAATCAGACGCTACAATAAAGTAGCCTCTTTCAGCATCAAAGATCCATAAGCTTTGTTGATGGCAAAGTCTTCCCTAAATCCTCAAAGCAAAGCCATCACTACAGAAAGTTTGTTGATTTTTTTATTTCTTTTACTCGTATACAGCTGAATAAGACAGATTTTGATAAACTTTCAAGGCTAATTACAAAGGCTGATTAATAGACACAACTTGAACTCATTCACTACGAAAAATTATTCTGTTTGGACACCGAACAACATCAGAGACCAATAAAAATGCACCACACCACTTTTTTACTGTACTGCAGCTCAGTACTGCTCCGTACTCGGTACCGCGACATCCGGACGTAGAGCAGCGTCCGGCATCCGCACAGAATAATTTCTCGTTCATTACAGACTGGCTGGTTAGCTACATAGTGACACGCAAAACCAGCTGAGAAAGAAGATAAATAATTGACAAGTAGAAAGCAAAGCCTTGTGCGTCGAAGTTCTACAACTCGATCTACGCTGCTAGCCAAAATTTTCATAAACTCACAAGAATATTTAGAGAAGAAAAATATTAGTAGAAAGGCGGGGTAGATCACTATGTACATATTTCATCATGGCTATGGTAGACTCGTGGTTCTTACAAGAGAAGGCTATATGATGGCATGTCTTCTATCCGCACAACATCATCAAATAGAAGCTCCCTCTCCAACCGAGTTCGGGTTGATCTCAGAACTTCCTATAATGCAAATTTAACAAACAAATTATAGACCTGTTAGAGTAATAGGAAAGTGTGAAGCAGATAAGGATGAAAAATATCAAGTTACATTGAATTCCATGTAGGAGGCCTTCTTTTCCAGCCATTGCTTGTCCATGATCATGAAAGCCACACAGTATAACAGGTCGAAAGCCCGGTCATCCCCTGAAAGCTAAAAGCGTAAGGAGCTGGTATTTGCATAATACGCTGGTAGTATGAACGCCATGTTGAACAGTTTACATTATACAGAAGCCATTCTACCTGCTAACATTTGGAGAAGAACAGTTTTGATAAATGTCCTAGGCTTGGCTGCAGATTTTTTTGGAATCAGTTAGTAACTCATGAAGCTGGAGTCATCTTGTAGAAGCATTGATCATTCAAAATCAAAATCTTACAGGAATCCAAATCGAGCATTTGCTTGATCATAAATGTTATGTTGACACCAGCAACTGCAAAAGGGTACTCCCAAGCAGCTCGCTTTCCACCTTGCTTATTCAGCAAACTCTGAAAGGGCACCTGAAACAATATATTCTGAAACATATCAATTTACATTTCTCTAGAAGAGTTAGTTATAATTGGTGAGACCAGAATAGTAAAATAGGTCTTAAATCAATATTAAGACATTGTCCTAGCCATGATTTTTAGAGGGGTGTTTGGGGTTTAAGTTGGGGAAGCCCAACTTCTTCGTAAGCTTAGCATGTTTTAAGCCTATCTTTTCCCCTTATAAGTTGGGAAAAGCCGGACAAAATTTTTTTTTTGGAACATTTAAGCCTTAAAAAACACACACACAACGCATACACAAAGACTCGAACCCACGACATCTTACTTGGAAGCCTAAGCTCTCAACCAACAGGCTAAGATGAGTTGTGTGCCGGACAAATTTTAAGCTTGTGCCGAAGCACGCTAGGTATAGTATATATTCAGTCTCCTTTGACCCCTAGTTTAGATATAATGTAAGTTGAGGGGAGACAGATTGAAATCTTGAGCAATTATTCATAAGCACCCTAAATTTTGCATGGTTGCCTAAAAGAAAATGTAAGAACTACTTCAATACTCTGAGCTCAAATTTCAAGCAAAAGTTAGCTGCTTATCAACTCTAGCATGCAGGTAAGATATAAGCCCATTTAACACTTAACAATTTGAAAATATCGCACGAAGCAAGTCAAGTTTGAGCTTCAGATATCTAAAAAAAACTGGATAATGAAGGAAGAATCAAAGACAAATGACTTGCTACAAGTAAAATGAGACTAGGAAGAGAAATGACATGAGTTTCTTACAGTAAATGATTTAGCAAAGAAGAGAAGGTTCTCCAAAGAAATGAATCCAGCTCCCCTGTTCATAACACACCCTTTTGTTATCAGCCAACGGGTGCATTAAACAAAATCACCAATTACTGAGTAGAAAATTGTAAGGAGTTTACACTTTTGTCTACCTGAAGTCAGTTGATGGGTCCTTACCCTGCCAACCCATTTGCTTCCACTGCTCTGAGATCAATCCGATGAGTTCTGTATCTGGATACGCAGCATTCCAAAGAGCTCTTAATGTTTCCTATAAGAAACGGTAAGTTTATTAGATTTTGGCGCAACAGAGGATGAAGTTTTGCATATGACTACAGCTGAAGTACATAACTAAGTTCATGACAAATTTGAGTTCGGCTTGTATGTTGATCCATGAAATATTACGGGCTAGCAAGTGACATCAAATCACAGCAGAGACTTGATGAATCACATTTAAACAGCAAGTTTGAAAATCTGATGGATTTGCATACCTTTGTAGCCAAAGAAATATAATAAATACTGATAACTAATATAGAGTATATAAACTCTTATTTGATGGAATTATTTTTACATGCTAAGTTCTCAAAGTGTGAGTTTTGGTTGAGGAGCTTTTCATTTCTGGGGCATGCAGTGAGCGGTGTAGGTATTTTAGTAGATCTCCAGAAGATTCAGATTGCTTTTGATATGTCAATGCCTACTACAGTTTAAGAGGTTCGTAGTTTCTTTGCATGTCGGTTTTTTATTTCTCTTGGATACGACTGGAGGCATGTGAGGGTACATTAAAAAATATTTTCTACTTAAATCAATTATAATTTTTAAGCTAACATAGAAACTCTAACAATCTAAGAAGTAAGCTAGTGACCACCGAGAGGCTGCATAACAACTGTTAATGAAGTGGTGACAATCATGCCCCTTCTTAATCATGTTTTGAACGGGACTTATACAGGGTAAATTTGTAAAAAAAAAAAAAAAAAAACTCCAGCCACGTCATTTGGTGAATTCTTTAGGAGACCTCTTAATAATAATAACAATATTCCTCCATATTAGAAAGACAGCAATGTTATTAAAATTACATTATTATTTGTTGATTCATTCAATCTTATTTATCTTAAAGTAATATTATCTTGTAAGATCAACAAGTATTCTAATCTTTTGCTTTTATTTCCATTTATTTTAACCACTAGTTGGCCTCAAATGTTATTTATGAAATATCAGTAAAAAAAAACAATATATACTTATCAAATGTCAATTAAACAAACAAACAACCCCTAAGGCCAAATCTTTGCTAATACATTTCACAGAAGGGTTAAGGTAGCTATAATGGCCTCATTTATATAATATATCTAGAACCTTATGGAGTACGTGTAGCTCTAAATTGACCCAAGAGCTTCAAACAAAGTTCCCAGTGCTTTAACGAAGGAAAACAAAAAGCCCCCTTCAACAAAGACTTAGCTGGCTTTCATTAATAAGCTGAAAAACAGTGGAATTTGTCCAAGAAAGTAGCATTCAAGGTCCACTCACACCAGGCATGAAAAGTTTGAAAGAGAAATTGACAGGTGAGCTGGAATATGTACTGGGCTTTAAAACAAGAAAAGCAACTAATTTAGATTTCGTTTGAGACAACTTTCTTACTATTTTTTAAAATATCTTTTTAGTACAAATTTTTTAGAACTCAAAAAATTTTGTATTAAAAAGCAATAAAAAAACTGCCCCAAACAAAACCTTAATCAGGCATTACTGACTTTATCAATTTTAACCAATTCAAAATATGGTTTCAGCATCCTGCATCTAAGAGCAAAATATTTCCAATGAGGCAAGTGACTTTGCCGTTATATTGGTAAATAATTTACTAAAAATATTGAAATAAAAGAAACCTTTTTCTTGTTCAAATAACTAGAAGGCTTATGAGGGATTCAATGTATGCCAAGTTCGAAAAGAACAATCTTTTAATCATAAAATGTTCCAGAAATTAAGGGGAAAAATATTTCTTCTCACACATGGAATGCATTGAATCTCTCCTCATCTTGAGAAATTTTTTTTCTTAAAAGTCACATTTTTAAGAAAAATCACCTGATGATCATTCCTTGAGGGATCAAAATAGATGTTCATTCGATGCTTCAGCATTTTTAACCTTTCCACCTGCAAAATTTTTTCAATTAGTAGGTTCCATACGATTGATTTTGTAGAATTCCTACTAATGATGGAACAATAGAAAATGAAACACCAGAGCACTATAAGTCGGTTTCCTAAGTCAATAAATTATGGTACTCTGATAAAGATAAAAAATAATGGTGAAAACAACGAGTATCAGGATTCAGGAACAATGAAAAGAACAAAAATATTCAAAAGAAATCAAAGAAATAATCAAAAGGAAATTGAGAATTAGCAAAACATTATAACATGTAAAGCTTAAAGGGTATTTTACAGGAAAAGTAATTCAAAAGTATAGTAGATTCACTTAAGATAAGTGCTAGATATCTTGTTTGATATAGGTAGAGCAGCAAATCTGAAACAGTTCACCTGTAATGGCGTTAGATTTGTGAAGTCACGCTCGTAAATTCCTTTCCGTTTGATGCAGACACAAGAAAGTCCCCGTCCAATCCATCTTGGAGGGCCACCCACTATATCCTCTGTAAAAACAAAGCTCACTTAAGCGATGCACGATAAATCAAAATTTTTTTCTTAAAAATTTTCGTATCCCCTCTTTCGAAATCCTAAAACCGTGACTGATATTATTAATCCAGGAATTAACACGTTGGCCGTGGCAAAACCTGTCGATTTGCAGGAAGAAAACACACGCAAGCTCCAATAATCTTACTTCCGGATACATAAAGTGACAAAACCTATAATGAATTATTTATAAGAACTCCCAAGAACAACTTTTTATCTTTGCTCATTTCTTGGCAAAAATTTGCTTTATTGAGTTTATGTAGCTATATGTAGGATTCAGTGAATCCTGAGAGAATGGAAAACTGAATTCGTTTGAGGCTGACAATGAGATTTATTAAAACAAAGTTCTTCAAGTCCCCCCCAAAAAAAATGATGGGATTTAAGCTAAATCTTGCTAAAGGAATGCCTAAAATAGGATCTTGAAGTTGAACAACCCCTTAATCTGATTTTAATTGCCCAACAATTGTTGAAATTTTGAGAAACAGCACGAGTAATTTTTAGTCACGAGAAATTTAGCATCTTTCTACTAATAAATACTTAAAATCAAAACAAGAAGTGTATATCCAAATAAAATGAGTGAAAATAAATACTTTTTATGAGAAATTTCTTATCGGATATCCATCCGTTACAAAGCCAGGATGCTGAAAGCCAGAGATTCTCGCTCGCCTCTCCATCCTCCCAGGAAATCCACAAACAAAAAATCGCGAAATATACAGACACTAAAACCCAACCACGCTTGCCAGTTTCTCATACACCAGACATTGTAAGGAAGAAGAAAAGAAAGAACGTTGCGGGCAACAGCCAAAAAAATGGAGCTTTTAAATCCTCCAATGCCGCCCACTCAAATCGCCCGCCCAACCGAAAGAAAATCTAAGCAGGTAAACTAAAAAGTAGCAGCGGAATGTAAAGTATGCCGATTAATATGGAGAAAGGTTGAATCCAGCCTACCCTGAGAGTGGGATAAGGAAATAAACCTGAAGAAGCGAGTCCATTGGAGGATCGGGAGCTTGAGGATAGAGGAAAAGGCCGAATCGCTGCGCAGCTTCCTGGTTTTCTCCCACCTCTCATTTCTTCTGTTTTATCTTTCTCACTTCCAAGTTGGTCGCTTGCCTCTCTCGCTCTGTGTTTCGCTTGTTATAAATAATCAGAATGGAGGGAAAGCCAAACAGAGTAGCTTAACGAGCCGCAATTCGTCTGACTGTTGCGGTTTGGTGACGGGCAGGAGAATTGCAATTTGAAGACCTTTCAGGTAAAACGCTTTTGAAGCACGTGTGCTTGGGCACCTAAACATACTTTGGAATCGTTTAGGCAGATTTTTTTTTTATATTAAGGTTAACAAAAATAAATTTATATACACTTCATATACATAAAATTTGGATAAAAAATTTCTTAATTGATAATCAAAATTATCAGCCAACAAACTAGATGAAAATTTTGATGATAATATATCTAAAAATTATTAGTTCTAATTTAAAATAAATATAATATATAAGTAATTAATATCACACTTGTTGCGCCCTGAAGTATTCACGACAGTAGAAAAATATAAAGTTTAACGTCTTAGCTTTGTACGAAGATCCAGCACACAAACAGATGAAAGAGATGGTATAGCATTCATAAGAGATATCAAGATTTTTACGTGGAAAATCCCTAATAATGAGGAAAACCCACGGGGATTGCCCTAGTTTGAATGAATCCACTATTATTTGCAGTTGATTACAAATGAGGCCCTTCCTTGAGGAGAGGCATTGGCTTGATGTAACAAATATAAGTCATATAGAGTGTGTTATATGGTGAAAATATGAAGAATCATTGTTCACATATTCATTTGGTCGGAGGGATCATATTCGACGGGCGACGGAGGTCGGAAGGACTGTTGTCTGGTGATAGAGGTCAGAAGGGTCGTAGTCAGCGGGCGACGGAGGTCATAAAGTCTGTTGTCTGGCGATGGAGGTCGGAAGGACCATAGTGGGCGAGCGACAGAGGTCAGAAGGACAGTTGTCTGGCGAGAGAGCTCGGAAGGACTGTAGTCGGCGAGCGACAGAAATCGGAAGGGCCATTGTCTGGCGACATAGGTTAGAAGGACCATTATCAACATATGACAGAGGTCGGAAGGATCGTAGTCAGAAGGTGATGGTGGTCCGATATCAATTGGTGGACGTGCAAAATTCTGGTGTTAGTTGGCAGCCGGGCAAAAAAAAAACCAGCATTAATTGACGGTCAGGTAAAAGTCCGACGTCTGTTGGTAGTTAGGTAAAAGTCTGGAAACAGTTGTCAGTTGGGCAGAAGTTCGTCGTCAGGTAGAAATCCGGCGACGCGCGAAAGTCTGGCATCAGGTAGAAGTTCGATGAAGTCCGACGATAAGCATAATTCTAGTCTGGCGATTGGTAGAAGTTCGGCGTCGGGTAGAAGTCCAATGAAAGTCCGGCAACGGGTAGAAGTCCGACAAAAGGCAGAAGTCCGCCATCGGGTATCTGGCGGCGGGTGGATGTCCGTTGTCGGGTAGAAATCTGGCAAAGGGAAGAAGTTTGGCATCGGTCGATGGTCGGGAGGTGGTCGAGAAGGAGTCTGGTGGCAAGATAACTCTTCTTTCTCTTCTTTCTATTCCATTTCTTCTTCCTTGGGCTCCTTCCTTTGACTCCTTCTTCCTCCTTCCCCCCCTCGATGAAGAATGAGAGGTCTATTTATAATTTTTTAAGAGTGGCATGACCAGTATATATGAGGAAAATCAAAAATAAATTGGGAGTAGTTTGAATGGACGACCGATGTTGATCCCTTAATCATAGACCGTTTATTGCCATTTAAATGTCTTAATGATATCAGAATTCAACAATCTTGGGCTCGTTGGATTTGTCTCGTCGAGCCGCTCGATTCGATTTTAAGCATGTCACATTTGGAAACCGTTATGTAATCCAAATTATGGTTGAAACCTTCCAAATGTGTTTCAGACCTTCGATTTGGAGAATCTAGGTACGGATTGAGTTGAATTTGGTGTCGTTGGGTTTCTATTTCCGAGACGTTCAGTTTGACTATAAGTTTGTTCTAATCTGAGTTGAGATGGTATCTGATTCAATTTTTTAAGTTTTCAACTTGATTTTTGCCTGGAGATTCGTCCACGATCAAGACACTCTTTTCATGATATATCAACACTAATTTCAAAATAAATATAAAATTTTATTATAATGCATATTTTTATTATAATGTGTATGATATATATATCAACTCTTGTGTATGCATATTTTTATTTTATATATATATACAGAGTTCCGGCGTCTTCAGGCGGCAGGAAGAGCTCCGGCGGTGGTCGAGGAGGTGAGGAATCTCCTTTTCCCCTTTCTCCTCTTCTTCTTCTCTCTCTTCACTTGAGTCCCTTTGGTGTAGAATGAGGGCTCTATTTATAGTTTTTCTGGAGTGGCATAGCCCGTAAATAGGCGTGAGAGGGCGAATTGGGAGTGTTTTGAATGGACGGCCGATAATGAATCCTTTGATCATGCACCGTTCGTTGGACATTTTAAGGCCTTAATGATGTTGGAATTCGGAGATCTTGGGATCGTTGGATTCCTCTCGTCGAGCCGTTCGATTCGAGTATAAGCTCGTCAAAATCGGAGACCGTTTGGTAACTCAAATTGCGGTTTGAACCTTCCAACAGCGCTTTGAGCCCTTGATTCGGATTCATTTGGGCTCGGATTGGGTTGATCTTGGTGTTGTTGGGTTCGTATTTCCGAGACGCTCAGTTTGACTATAAGCTCGCTGAAATCGGAGTTCGGGTGCTCCCAAAATTAATTTTTGAAGTTTACAACTAGCTTTTGCCTCGAGATTCGTACCCGGTCAATCTAATTTTGTGATGACGTATCAATAATAAACATAAAATTTGTCCTCTTTTGCAATTCCTAATAACTTATTATTAACAATATAAAAATTATGACATAAATTTTATTATGTTTTTAATATATCATATTGTATAACAGAGAACTCGATATTTGAAAAAAATGATAGATCACAGTCAAATTTTTTGTATAACATTTTAATTACGGACGTGCCATATGGAAGCTTTTCATCCCTGGCCTATACCATACAAAAGTGTGCACAGCCAATAAAGACAAGTTATTTAGCATTATTAGCTTCTTTTTCTTAATCATGTGATTACTTCGAGGCTGATTTTTATTTATAAAATAAATAAAATATATGGGATAATAATCTAAATTTTATATATTTTAGATGGTACAGAAAATATTATATCATGGTTATTTTATATCGCATTACCTTTTTATTTATTCTCAAATTTTTATTTAAAAAAAAAATTAGTTAACATTCATTACTCGGAATCACGTGACTCGATTTTGATAGCGACAGTTGACGAGACATTAACACGTGACTCACGTCAAACTTGGTCACCCGACGAGACGAGGTTAGCACAGACGGGATGGCGGCAATGTCACAGGCTAGCACGGACGTGACACACGCACCATGTTCCCGGGTTAATCGGGATTGAGTTCGGGTTTCCGAGTCAATCTGAACCCGACCAGTTTGAGAAACTAGTTGATCATAACCTGGAATTTTCGTGTTGGATTCGAGTTGGATTTTTAGTTAAACTTAGAGGGGCACTAGGAGGACAAAGATCTTTAGCATGGAGAAAGGAAGAGTAGTATGTGCAGAGAAAGCTTCCAATTATATAGAACTTTCAAGATAACCTCCTCAACTTTAATGATTATAGGGATCTCTTTCAGAAGATATTTAGCAATACATAGTGTGTATTAACAAAAAAATTATATTTTTTAACATAATTTTTCTAATGCACAGCTGTGTCAAAACTCAAAAAGCTTTCAAATGAATAAATAAAATATTATGGATTCATATAAGCTTGAAAACTTAGCAATACACAACAATACCTAGCAAAATACACAGCAAAATCTAGCAAAATACATTTTTTAATATTTAATAGTACACAGTAAAATACATATAACAATACACAATAATACCCACTAATATATAACTAGGGGTGTTAATATTTGACACGATCCGAAAATCCGACTCGAACCCGACCTAAAAATTTACGTTCTTAATTTAATTAGAGTCGGACCCTGCACGAAATAATTTTTTCCTTCACGTTGGACCCCCTAACGTACCGTGCCCGGTTTACTCGCCGGCTTATTGGATTAAGCCTTGAAGGTACGGATCCCATACGCCGCACTGTAAACTTGATAGTTAACTCAAAGTTACTCTTTTGGCTATTAATTCTTCGCGTATTAATAACTTATTCTCCAGCAAACAATTAACAAATAAAACAAATAAAAGAAAAGAACATAATTTTTTTATGCATTGTTTGTTGAACTTTGGCGCAAAATATTATTTGGTAATATTATTTTATTCATATGCAATTTTATTGAAAGAGATTTTTTTTCTTAACAATAAAGTTAGAGTAAGAAATGCAAATACAGTATAGAGCTTTGGACATTATTTTTATTTTTTTCTAATAAAAAATTAAATAGGGATTTACATACATATTATTTTATATCATCCTATTTATATATCTAATATCTAAATTTTTAATACTTTATGTCTATCATATATAGACAATTTTATTATCAAATATGTAATTCATATATTTCATTCTTATTACGCATATCACCCTATAAACTTTAATATTTCATTCCTTATGCCGAATTTGATTTGTGTGTGGTAGGTAATAAATAATAAAGATTTTGATATTAGATATGCAAATAGCATGATATAAAGTGGTATGTATGTAAATCCCCCAAAATTAAAAATAATTATCTTAGGTTTTGCTTAAAAATTGTGCCAAAAATTTATGAATTAAAATAATTTATTTTTATATTTTTTAAATATTAAAATATATGTTTATTATGTTTAAAAAAAATTGTAATATTTAACATATGCGATTCTTATATTTAAAAATCAGTTTATATATTATAAAAAATTGTGTGAGCATATTCTCATTAAAATGATTAAATTTTAGAATTTTTTTTGAGTTGAGTATATTAATAAATATTTATATATTATATTTATTGTAAAATAAATTTAAAATTTTAAATGTATTATGATTCTTTTTTATCAAAATATTAATTCTTATAATAACTTTTTAAAATTTAATAGAAAATGCAGGGTGGTTTTACTTTACTTCGAAGCAACAATATTATTTAACAATTATTTAGTGTTGGAGTTAA